TCAAAAATATGCGATATACATATTTATATATAAAGCGAGACGCTAAAAACGTTCTAGCATACAAAACTCTTCAAGTAGATTCAGCTATATATAGAACTTGAGAATTAATTCTGGCAAATCGTTTGACCACAAATCAATTTAGGCTAAACAAATTTTTTATGAAAATATATGCTTGCTATATTTATAGAAGAACAAACGGCAGAAATTCAAATTTATGATCGAAGCGTTTCAATAAAATGCTGTTTACTTGGCATTTAAGATGATTAAAGCAAAAAGTAAATTTATGAATGTGAGAAATAATAATCGAGTGAAGCTAGAAAGTCGATATAAAAAATAAAAATTAAAAAATTAGCTTAGTTTAAATATATAAATATGTGCTGCAAATTAAATGTATATTTCTAAAAAATTAAAAAATTAAAAAAAAAAAAATGAGCTCAGTTGAAATTTCCAAATATTTAAAGCAAATTAAATTTGCATTTCTATGAATTTTTGCTCAAAAGACTACAAAGCTGTAAATAATTGGTATACTAAATAAGTTTTAGGCTCTACTTAATATTTGTTATTTTAAGAGTAACTAAAGACTTTTAAAGACTTTTAAAGCACCTGTTCGCTGTCGTCTCTTTAAAAAGTTTCTGCCTTAGCTTATTTTGAAAGCATTTAATGTTATTTGTATGCACAGCAAAGTCGCTCTTGATTTATACACCTCTCGCTGCTTTCTCAGCTGCTGTGCGATGTTTGGCTTTAACGTGAGCAAAAATTGATGATGGCGAATGTAACCGGCGCACACACAAAGCGTATGCCATGACCTGCATGTACAACAGGACATGCGACGCTGTCGAGTCACAGCCAAACACCGAGCAGTCCCCGATCCGCCAACCCCCCTCTAGTCACCTGGTCTTGGCCAACTGCTTTTACCTGTCTAGCAACGGCGAATGCATGCGACAAGTTGCGCTAGTTACCTTTATTGCTAAGTGAGTGTGTGTGTGTGAGTATGTCAATGTGTGTGTGTGAATCTGTATATGTGTTTCGCAATTGATACAAGTAATTACCCACAGCTACAATTAGGGAATTTGTAATGCTTGGGTCCGCTTTTTGGTCATTCTAATTGTGCAATTAAGCAATATCAATTACAAATAATTACAACGATACACACACACACATACACACAGCCATATACACATACACACCAGTTAAAGTTGCGCTGAAAAACGGGCAACAGATTTTTAAATTATGCATGAGACCGAAAAGCAAAACAGAAAACACAGAGAAAACGAAACAGAAAACCAAAGCGAAATGGAAATGGAAATTGCTGCTACGTTTTTGGCCTGGCCAACACACTAAATCGCAACAAAATCCATTTGGATACCCGTTCAGCCCTTAGCATTCAATTGGCATATATTTTGCTGGTTTCCTGGTTTGGCTTCTGAGATACTCTTGAGGCTAGGGGGTATGTGAATTAAGTGCTTGATGCAAGTAGGGAGATAGATTGACAAATTGATGATAGATTGATGAGGAATCTATTGTAATCAAATATCTGACAAGAGATTTTGATTTAGTTACTATATTCCATATCACATTCAAAACATTTAAGCAAAAAACTTAATGGGGACATTTTTATTTTATTTTATTTT